CTCCTTGAGGCGCCCGATCTCAGCCGCCAGGCAGCGCACATCCTGCTCCTGCTGCGCCAGGCGCCGCCGGGCCGCAGCCGCCCCGGTCCCGGCCGCCGCCATCTTGTCCCGGGTGGCGCGAGGGGCGCGGCCTCCCCTCCCCCTCCGCTCAGGGAACCGGGAATAAGGAGCCAACTTCAGCCTCATGTTGCTGCAAGTGCATCCCTTGTCCTCAAGAGCGTTAGACCGGTTAACTAGCCTTAAACTGGACTTACAGTTGTCGGTCCGAGCCGGCCACAAGAAGGAAGAAGAGGCTCACTCGCAGGGGACATCTAATTCCCTCGCAGCCTGGAGGTGAACAACTGCGGTGGCTGAGGGATGAGCATCCTTCGCCCTCCTCCTCCCTGGAGAGCCGGTGCTTTAACAGCTGACAAGGTTCTTTGGGTAAATGCCATCTCTTTTATTAGACCAACGAAATAGTTTAAAAGCTGCTTTTCTGACTGTCATGGGAGGCTGAGGATGGAATTAGGATTTGCGTATCCCACTTCTATAGCAAGCAAACCCACTCTTTTGGGGGGCGCCAAAAGAATCATCTTGCTGACTTGTATCAAAACCCTAAGTTTGTTGCTGTGACCCTATCAGGCAAGGGCCATGTTTGTGTGGAGGGAGGGACAAGGCAAAGAACACACCGATTAGGATATAATTAGGGTCTATCACACTGATTAATCCCCTTTACTGAGACCTTCCTTATGGTTAACTCATTAACAAACCAAATCTGAAGCCCTTCCATGGCATCAAACATTGCTCTGGGGACAAACCAGGTTCTGCCATCCCTGCATATCCTGGGCCGCTTGTTACATGCCCTCTCCACTAATAAGTCCCATGAGTGCTCTTTGCCTCCTTGGCATCATGTCTGTGCTGCCACATCACCTGGTTCCTCACCCCTCTGGCCTCGGGGCATTTTCCATGGTCAAATCCATTGTTCACTCAAACTTACCCTTTACTCCATCACTTCAGTTTCCAGTTTACACGTCACCTCTCCATTTCTCCTTATCTGTTCTCCATCCTTGGGCTCTCTCCACAGTCTCCTCACCATCTTTGGTTTCCACACACTATACTCCAAATCCTTCCAGCACCTCCTTTCCAATGCTTTTGATTCAGTTTGCCATTTCCTTTCAAACTGGTTCTCCCATCATGCCCTCCCTGGCTGCAGTACTCACATTTCCCTGAACTGCCTAATATGTCTCCCCAAGACATCCCCTCACCCGGCACATCCAGATGTGTGCGGATGTTTGGGTCCCCCAAGACAAGTAGCAGTGGTTCAACTTGTGCCACTGCTGCCTGTCCCTGGAGAATGCCCATGCCATGTGCACTTGGGTGCATGGCAAGTTGCCCCAGGTGGGGTAGGGGAGGCTGGGGCCAGCAGTGGGCTGGCCCCACCAGCCTTACCTGGGGTCCTCGGGGCCTCCCACAACTGCAGCCACAGAGATTCTGCCATGTGGAGCCTGGCTGGCAGCAGAGCACAGCTCTCTGCAACCTGGCTCCACTTCTCAGCAGTGCATGCTGGCCAAGCGTGCAATGTGCCAGTCTTTTTTTCCATGGAACCCCCCCCCCCAACACAGGATATGCTTAGGCAGCATACTGTTGCAGCACAGAGAACTGTATGGTATGTGCACAATCACGGTTGTCTGGATGCACCCCCTCCAAGTTTCCCCATCCTCCTACCTCCTCAGAGTTTGTCCCTGCCCTCTTCTGCCTAGAACTAGTGCAAACCACAGTTATGACTAGGAGAGTGACACTTTGTATCTTTCCGCACAGCATCATTTTAGTCATATGTCTCTGACCATGGGATGCTGGGAGCTCTGTGTTGAACCTGTTCATGTTCTATGCTTGAAGTCCTGGTACTACCAGGTAAGAATGGCAGCATTTTACACCCTCTTTGGAAAGATTAAAATAATTACACACTGCAGTGACACTGTTGTATCAGATTGTTACCCTGTACTTGCAAACAGAATAAGTAATGGATAAATATAGTGATACATTGTTGCTGGCCATTCCCTGTGATATCAGTATTATTGATTTTTGCAAAAAATAAAAAAAATAAAAATCAGTCTTTAGTCTTGGTGAGTCTGGTAATCTAATCACATTAAATTAAAGAATAAAATGGCATCTTCTCTTCACTATGGCTCATGGAGAAGAGGACATGTCTTCTCCCAGGATATCATGGAGACAGTGTAAACTCAAAATATTTTATGAAATTAGGGACAAAATAATAAGATGGTCATGCTCACAGACTTTCAGACACTAGGCAGTCACAAAACTTCATACTGCCACTAATTCCTCTGTCCTAGATGCTGCTGTTTTCTGCATGAATAGCACAGCCTGCCATGTACATTAACTGGTTAATATAATTCCAACAACCTTGATTTTAATGGAATTGCTGAGTATTGCGTCCATCCCACCATTAGTTCCACAGAGCTTTCTAACAGTTTGACGCAGAATTTTATACTTTAAACAAATTAGGCCTTTCTTTCTTGGAGTTGCTTTGTTAGGTAATGAATTATTGCAACTTCTTTAACAGATTGTGGGGATCTGACAAACTAATGCCAGTACAATTTGTTGATTCACACTTTGGACCAAATTCTGCTTCCTTTATGGGGGAGTCATTCCCATAAAGGATTGACTGTATTGTGTATTAACTTCAGCTGGATGACTAAATGAGTAAGGGAGAAGGCTTTAGCTCATCATCTGTGATGGAGACATAAAAATAAGCAGTTTTCTGTACCTTGCCATTAAGAAATGAAATGCAGAACTAATCTTAACCTATCGGCTCTTTAACTTGTATGGTGCAGCCATTCACCAGTATGTTGTGTTCCATTGGTAAAGATATTACTAGCTATTCAGTGTTTACTGAGCTTCAGATCAATAAAGAATGAACTTTTGAAGTTACAATATGAGAAATATTTACAAGTATAGCCATCTGTGTCCAATACCAAGGCATTTTACTGTGTACCCAAAGATTGTAACTTTGTCCTTGATATAACAGCCACTGAAGTCACTGGGAATCCTTGAATATTTCAGCGGGTATTGGGTTACATCCTTACTACCTGTTGGTCTGTGAAATGCCAAGAAAAAGAATACCTTTGAGTCCTTTTCTGGTTTTATTCCCAGTGGGAATACAAAACAGGCAATTACAATGTTAGACTGAAAGCTGAACAGAACCTGAAGAAATGATAATAGGTTTGTATTAGTCCACCTCACTGATGGTACCCTGTGCATCTAAGTGGAGCTCATTGTGAAACAATGGTTACTAATTACAATTCTCCTCTCTCATGAGATTTCAAGTAGGAGATGGAAACTTTAAAGGTCATAAATTGTCAGTAGTGGCTTTAGGGGAGGGCAAACCGGGAAACTGTCCAGGGCCCCACACTTTCTAAAATTTAAAATGAATTAAACTGAATATTTGTATTATTGATCTTGTATTAATATACTTTCATGGCAGTTTCATGGATAAGGCAACATCAAATTGACATTGAAAATATCCAACTTGCTTATAAGTCATCAAAATTAAGCCTCTAAGGCGTCCCAAACCACTCTCTTACTCAGGCCCCCAACAACCCTAAGGCCTCCACTGGATCTATCATTGCCCTTATCAGTAGAGGCTGCCTGAGTATGAACTAAATCCTCCACATAGTGTGGACAGTTCCTTCCCCAGCTAGTAGCCTCCACTTTGAAGTGTGCTGCCTTGCAGATAATTCAGAATGCAGCTTCCTTACATTATGACAGTGCCTTTCTACATGGATTTCCAGTGGAGACATATGCCTAGGTGGATCCATGGAGGGTGCAGTGGTGCAGCTGCACCCTTTTGATTCGTGTTCCACCCAAACTTTAAAAACAACTACCTGGAGGAGCAGCAGCATTTCTATTCAGGCAGAGTTGAGAGAGTTAGTTGATGTCATAGTCCATTATCATCTTCCTCATTCCTGCTAATACTCTCTGTCTGTCATATAGGTGTGAACAATTCTCACTCCTTCTTAATAGTTTTGACGTTCCACTATTCAAAATATCCTTTCTTCTGCAATGGTGTTGTCTGTTAGCCATTCCTGGTACACCTATCTTATGTTTCATAGCACTGCAGTCTGCTTTTAGCTCTCTCTAAAAACCTTAACTGAGGTGTGATAATATTAACTCAGGTGTAGAAATGACTAGCAGTAAAGTATTGGAGGCACTACAAAATCTGAAAAGGTTAGATTTGAT